GGGGGGGGGGGGGGGGGTGGTGGTGGTGGAAAGGTTGTGGTGAGAACGTCAGTCGGGTCAATAACAAGACAAGCGAGAAAGAGAGGCTTGCTTTGCTTGTCGGATATGGCTTCGTCAGCGCACGGGGTTCGCAGGCGGGCGGCGGGCGTGGGGAGGCTTGCTCGACTTGTGGCTGCTCGGTTCTGTCCGGGATGACAACTATCGTTATCGTTAGGTACCGGTATCTTCTTACGAAGAAACACCACCAGATTGATGAAGAGCCAAGCGAGGCCGATGATGGAGACAGCAACCAGGTGAGCTACCTCAGCTACCTAGCAAATGCAGGCCGAACGATGGGTCCGTCTGGCAGGACAGAACAGAACAGAACAGAACCAGAACAGGGCAGACGAGCGCTGTCTGGGCTGCCCGGGTGTTATGACGTCGACTGATCGGCAGGCCGAGCTAACGCTACCCTGTCGAGGAGGATGCTCCGTTCACGAGGGCCAGAATGCAGAATGCAGAATACCCCCCAGCAATTGGCCAGAAGGCACCACACGGCACACGGCACACGGCACACCTGCACACACACACACACACACTCCACGGGACGGGCAGCCGAGAAGAGAACAACGAGGGCTCGAGGAGGGGTCCAGGGATCAATACGTGCAATGATATAACCGCTGATCACCCAGACAAACGGCCGCCTAGGGATCTAGGATCTGGGTAATTATCGGGCTGGATCTTGGTTGGAGGCTTTACTCCTCGAATGGATCCGTGCGATGCAGCGATTCCCAGGTTCTGGGGCAAGGGAGAGAGGATGGAAGATGTGAAACAAGCGAGGAACAGGAAATGGATCTGATGATGATTATGATGATGATGATGAAAGGATGGATGCTTTTGCGTTTGCGTTTGCGTTTGCTTGAACTGACGACGATGACGCCTGTCTTCTTGCTCTCCTTCTCTCTCTTCTTATTGAAGCCAGACCACAGTGGCAGAAATGGCGGGGCTGGGCTGGGCTGGGCTGGTAGCCATGTGGCTGGGACGGGGTCAGGGTCACGTCACACTAACTAACATGACCGTTAGTCTCACCTACTAAATGTTAGAGCCCACCCGTCAACGATACGGCCCGCCGCCCACGTTGCCGTTGTCTCAACGCTGGCCGGATTACCAGTACCTTATGGATACACTAGCTATCCATGAGAAAAAAAAAAGTCAAAATTGGCGGGGCTGGGGGCCACTATCGTATCTTTACCGTGAAGCCAAGACACGAGACTATTTCTACCTCCTGTAGATACTGGGCGATGCAAAATCTGTCTGCGTTGCATAGATTCAAGTCTGCCCTGGCAGGTGGGAACAACGTTTGGTGACACGTTCCATGGACGTTTGTTTACCTATACTGCGTAGGTACAACCGGACGGTCCCGACTGCTCCAGGCCCCATCGTTAGGGTCTTGGGCAATTGATTAGTGCTCGGTAAAGCTGTAGCCAGGCTAGTCCCTACCTTACCGAGCTTACCTAGGTGCTAGGTACATGCCGGCCAAGCAAGCAGGTATGATCTAACAATCGAGGCCTTTCAGATTCCCTGGTTCATGGCTACGGATCAATCGGTATGAAGTCACTTCACTTCACTCTCTTGGGTGGACTGGACCACGTCGTCGGGGTTTTGATTCTCGTGAACCGTGAAACAAGTTTAAGTTTAGATCGTTGCGCATTCCATCCACCCGCTAGTTGCTAGTTGATCCGCCTGTATTACAATCACCACGTGCCCAGCCCGCCCGTTCATGCCGCCATCAATATCAATATGCTGACTTATGTTTTTGGCATCTGTTGCCTGCCCTCCAGAGCAGGTGACGACAGCGTCTTGAGCTGACCTCAGGCGTACAGAGCTCGGTCTGGGTGGGCATGCTTGTTTCCCTAGCTCTCTCGAGATGTACAATCACAAAACTCTAGTATATCGGCTCATGTGGCTCATAGATCAAGTTGAACAAAAAGAACGCTCGTCTTCTTTGACCGTCAGATAGTAATGCGAGTCAGTCTCCAGTGACACAGACTCTCTCCCCTGTCTGGGAGAGAGTCCAAGGGTATTATCTACATACGTTACATCGAAATCCAGTCGTGATGCTTATAAAATACCTCCGCCGTAACCCTATCGCCCATTGCCACTATCCCTTAACGTGCCATCCTTGCCTAAGGATGGTGATCGTCCACGACATCCAGATCGTCAAAGTCCCTGATCACCGGCGCCACGCTATCCGTCTCTGATCCGCTGCGGCTCAACAATGGCCGGCCGTAGCCCCTGTCGCTGCCAACTGCCCTGCCCATCCCCAGCGCCGACCTGTCGCGCTCCTGTCCGCTCACCGCGGTGCTGAAGCTCCCTCGTCGCGAGTCGACCACGTCGTCCAGCACGAGGAAGCCGCCACCACCAGCACCAGCACCCCCTGCCATGTTCCCCGTGTTCCCACCCACGGCGCTAGCCGCGTGGCTCCCGTACCCGCTGCGAGGCACCGGCCACTCCACCTCGTCCACGCGCTCAATCTCCCTGCCGGACCCGAACGTCGCCACGCTGCGCGGGCCGCCCGAGCTGTACTTGTTCGAGTTGCTGTAGTACAGCCCGTCGCGCGACCGCGTGTTGCGCCGCGACAGCGTCCCCGTCCCCGTCCCCGAGGCTGGCGAGCGCACACTGCTGCTCGCCGTGTCCGACTCGCTGATGACGCTGCCCGCCGAGCTGAACGGCGCGTAGCCGCTGACGCTGGGCGCCACCGAGCTGCTGCTGCGCACCGACCGGGTGCCGGCGCCCGCGGGCGTGTGGTAGCCCGCCACGGAGCTGCGCGACGTCGCCGTCGGCGGTGGGCGCGGGAAGTTGTACCCTGCTGCCCGCACGACGGGCGACGTGTTGCCCGATCCGCCCGACGACGTGTCGGCGCCCGAGTTGTTCGAGTTGCCGCCGTTCCACGAGCGCACGACCGTCCAGCAGTGGGAGAGCTCATGAGCCGCCTCCTCGCCACCTGCAGTACCGCTGTTGCTGCCCATCAGCGGGAGGCTGTTGGGCCCGCCGGCTCTCCACGGGGGCATCTTTGCGCCCTTCAGGCGCGGCGAGAGATGGTAAGGCACGCCCTCGCGGTAACGCACGTTGGGAGCGTCGACAGACACGCTGGCCAGCGTCTGCAAGACACCGTAGATGAGCACCCACCGCCCACGGCGGGCTGTGCTCGGGTCCACTTCGCCGGTGCGGTCCGCCTTCTCAAACTTGACAAACGCATCAATCAGATCACTCTGGGTGAAATCCGACCCCAGGATGTAGATGTTAGTTGCTTCTGTGTACGCCAACTGTACACGTCGCTCGAGGGCGCCGGAACGATTGCCAACATTTGCGTTGTTCTCGTTGCCGTTTTTGCTCTTTTTGGACGGCTTCTCCTTGGTTCCGTTTGACAGATTTAATGGCGGTGGGATCGACTCAGGGACCAAGGGGTATGGGTGAGGAATGTGGGGAAAGCGCAGCTTGTTGTCGAACTCGATCAACATGTCCGTCATGGGCAGATCAGGCGTGTCCGCGTCGAATCCCCGATTGCCAGACTCGCTGACCATGAGCCATTTGCGCGAGCTGCGTGTTTCCGACCCATCCCACACGATGTCCCGATTGACCAAGTAGTCATAGAGCGCGGCAAAATCTTTCTGTATGGACTTTGCAACCGTACGCGTAAGCCAGATCTCCTCGTCGCCATTACCACCACCCATGTTGCCCTCATGGTGAGTTGGCGGCGCAGCTGGAGGAGGCCAACGGCCGTATACACGCATGTAGTGAGCAACGAAGAACTTCTGTAGCCGATCGGCGCTCGCCTTGGCGGGACTGGTCGTTACTGGACCGGAAGAGGAAGCCGTGGAGGCCACAGCCGGTGGCCACATGTCGGAGTACTGGAAGTCGGCCAGCCGCTCCTCTGCGGCTTGCACACGCAGCTGTGTCTCTAGGCATGCGCGCTCAAGGAGTGCGCGAGTGATGGGCGTGATATTCTTGAAGTCTGCGCACGACTCCAGTCGGCCATACATACCGGCGCAGTGGAGGAAGCTCTCGCGCCAGCCCTCCTCCCAGCGGACTTCTGAGCCTTCGGACCATGCAAGCAGTGAAACAGCCGTCTCGGCGTCATTCCGGACATCGTCAATGCCTCGAGCAGAAAGGTAATTGAGAATCGTTCCGACATTATCGGCCTCGGGCGGCATGTACGCCTCTAGCCGCGTGTGCAGGTCAGACAATGCTTGATAAAGCGACAATCCCACAAGCGAGGCATGATAGAGCAAGGCGAATACGTTGCGCGTCGTGATGTGGTGTCGAACCTGGTCGATCTTGGTCATATTGGACGGCGTCGGGAAGTACATCTCATAGCTAATCTGGCCATCTGCCTCCGCCAGGCTCGCATCCTCTGAAATCGGTGGTGTAGGCTGACCGCGGCTCAGCGCACTATGCGGCCCAAGATGGTGATGGCCCATGTGGTGGCCCATTCCACCCATTCCATGGCGTTGAAGCATAGGTGGTGCTCCAATGGGCGATGGTGACATGTGAATATCCTCCTCCGTCGAACCCTCACGAAGCAGGGTTATCAGATATCGTGACTCAGTCGCCTCAATGATATGGGATGAGAGCCGGAAAGAGGGATTTGGCCGAGGACTTTGGCCCTTATGACCGAAGAAAACGAGCACGTCGCCGTTCGGGTCCCAAAGTTCGGGATCCTTACGGAGTTTGTTCCATCGTTGTACAGGTCTGCCAGCGCCGATCCACCGTTTGATGGGCGGTGCATTGGAGGGAGGTGGTATAGGGGGAAGCTTAGCGGACGGAGGCGGCGATATCATGGCAGACTGGTCCCATTGTTGCTGCTCGGCGAACTGGCCGTGATGCTGCTGTTGCTGGTATTGCGGCGGGACGACTTCTTCGAAAGCAACATCAGGATCGCTAGGGTAGCTCGGATGCGCACGCACCGTCGCCGACGATTGCGGCCGGAACTCGAGGTTCTTGTCGGCATCGCCACGCTTGTCCTTCTTCTTCCCGAAGGAAAAGGTTTTAGCAATGCCCTTGCGCACCTCTTCACTTTTCTTGTCAAGTGCACTCCTCAATCCGGACTTCTCGATCCCCGAAACGTCCTCCGTCTTAATGACTGGTTTCCTCGCACGGGCGTATGCATACTCATCCATAGGACCTTTGAGATGCGGTGTGCCTGCAGCCTCCCGCCGGCCGTCCGTGCTCCCGCCGCTTTGACTGCCACCGCTGCCCTGCGTCTGGAAGCTGGAAAAGTCATTGCGATAGGGGTTCAGCACCTCATTCTCACGCACTGGCTCAGAAAACTTGAGGAAGCGCGCGTTAGTAGTGCCGACGCCCGTGTCCTGCCGCGTCGGCATGGGCAGATCGCTAATGGTCGCATTGTCGTCGGAGCTCAACGACGTCTTGGTACGGCTCCGGGGCAAAGCACCTTTCTCCCCGGGTTTCGTCTCCGTAATCTTCTTGCGCACGTATGCGCTTCGACCCGACATACTGCTCAGGCTCTATGCTATGTATGCAGCGTAAGATGGTTCAGAAACACCGATGTTCGTCCAATGCAACCCTGGTGAACCTACAGCAAACAGCTTGGGACTGTCTGTTGTGGGATGGTGGGTGCGCGTGGGCTGTCAGCTCGCGATAAGGATGTCAGAGGACTGATAAGACAACAGCCTGCAAAATCAGACCAAATCACAGCGCTAGGATTGATGCAAAATCACGCCCTGCAAGTTGATTCGAGCCGTTGGCGGAGCGAGCCGAAGAGCTGGCGGCGACAAGTTTTAGTCATGCGATCATTGCAGCGTGTAAGTCTAGGGAATCTCATGTGCTACTGCTCGAACAAGGCTGTTAGCATTCAGATGACGAGCGCTGCTTAAAGTCCCGCAACGAGAGGAGTGGGAACACACTGTAAGGCCTACCCAGTGGTGAAGAGCGATTAAAGCAATATAAGACAGAATGATAAGTCCAGAAGTCCGGGCAGTGAACAATGGCGGGCTGTTTAATGATATGACTGCTGCGTACGAGCGATCCTCCGTATGGCGCAGATCTTTGAGATATGACTGCTTTTGCTGTCCCAAAAGCAAAGAAATGTCAGGCCAAAGCCTGGCGTCACAGATCGATTCTAAGTGAAATGCGGTCGGTGTGGTTTTTGGAGAAGTGATGTGTCGCAGGGCCAGATCGTGGTTCTTGCGCGCGCTTTGCTTTTTCTCCCGTCGGTCAAACCCGCGCGTTCCTTTTCCTGTGACAGCTCGCTGTCGCCGCCCCAGGATCCCTTTTCCACAATGACCCAATCACACACTTCTGATGCTCCTTGGTTGTGCTCTGAGAGTCAATTCGCCCCCTAAAACGAGCGAAGACAGACCGCTGGCGAACGAGTGATGGGATCGGCAACCCTGAAATAGTGTAGACTCTACGTCTGGCTGAGCGCGCCTGGTAAGCTGGTCGGTCAATTTCCTTTTCGAAAGTCCCAGCCCAACAAGAAGGCGTTTTGGGAGGATGTGGTTTAGAAGGGGAACGCCAACGAATATGTAAGACCCCTTTCCCCCACAGCTTTCAACGCATTATTATTATCGTCCTTCCTCGAGCGTCCTGGAGATACACAAGGTAGGGGCCGCCATGTAAGGCACGAGCAGGGTGGGACGGAGCAGGGGGCACACGATGCACGATGGAAATAGCGCTGCAGCTACTCTCGGCCTTCCTAGGCTAGGGTTCTGTGCCTAATTCATCCCCATGCCCGGGCTCTAGAAAAGAACTCTCCCAGGCGCAGATGCATGTAGTGTCACCCAAGTCTAGGTCCAGGTCATCGTCGTATAACCTTCCTACACGGTCGCACTCTGCAGGCACGCTTGAAGCTACACAGGACAATTGATTCATAGAGCCGAGCCACCAACTGCGGCGCAAGACTGATCGCTCTTCAAAGTCCTCCAAGGGGCCACCAGTTCGTCGTGCCGCCCCTCCAGAGGTAACCTTCCTCACGGCCGCTCTCAGATTGCACGGACAGTAAGGTCTTGTCGGTGGGGAGGCTAATCCATGTGGCCATGCCACCTTGTTGTTTCTACTCGAGGCCTCCACAGAACGGACTGGGCTCGCCAAAGAATCCGAGGGGCCCGCGACTCTTTCTTTCTCCACGACGCAACAATCAAGAAGAAGGGGTCCGAAGTGTAGTGTAGCACTCGGCTGATGCCAGCCTAGCCTGGGACGGACAGGGAGGTCAGAAAGGCAGGAGAAACGCGACAGTGCTCCTCCAGTAACTTGGTAGCCAACTGCATCTGGAGCTGGTTCGGTCAGAAACAGCGTAGTGTCGTGCGGGCAGTAGTCGACAAATCCCTGACAGATAACTAAATTATCGCTCGCAGCAAGCTAAACGACTGGCAGGTCGTTATCTGCGACAGGAAACACCTTGATTGTAGTCATAATTTCTCTAGGAAAACCACGCCAATTGGCTGGCGGGAGAGAAAGCTGGGACCAACATTGTACAGTACTGTGCAAAACAGTTGATTCACTGATTACAGATTACAGTAACGTATGCCGTTTGTGCCGTTGAAGATAACTGCGATAGTGGCTAGCTTAGCCATAACGGTCTTGGTCCGTCCCGGCGACAGGGATTGTCACCCTCCTCCACGAGTTGACCCCTGCCTATCATCATCATGGTAGGTACTCGACCGTATGAATTCGAGAACAGACTCCCAGATGTTTCCAGTGGCGCGGTGAGGGTGTAGCAGAGTAGTATGTTTCGTGTGCATACCGCGTTGCAGTTGCATTCAACCATGGAAGATCGTGACGGCTCGAGCCAGCAGTTCTTCTTCCCCGTGCCCCGTCTCCATCAGCAGTCTGCTATCATCCGCCTCGGAAGCGCCCCCGGAGCCCACATGTGCTTTGACACAGGGCAGAAGAAGGAACAATGGCCCTGCTGTGAAGAGGATACAGCTACCCAAGCGCAGAACTCCATGGCTCTTTTGCGGGGTGGCTCCCCATCGGTTAATGTGAAGGAAGCATCCTTCACGTTTGAGCATCATGAGCCATTGTCCACGGCGGCGGACATGACAGCCAATGTAGGCAAAGGAGGCGCACCCAACTTCCCCCACCTTCGCTGCGAGTCTGCCACTGCCACAGAACCATCCCCCACCACCAGCGGCGTCTGCGTAGGCGGCGTTGAGCCCCTGGCCTTTGAAACCCCAGCCATTTCGCCTATTCGCTCTCCAGCTCCTCTTCAAGATACGCCCAAGAATGGTAAGCAATCATGCCCCAAGTCCAGTATAGTTGATCTCGGCAACGTGAACGGTGAGATTTTGGCATCAATTTCACTGTGGTCAGACCCAACTTGTTGTCATGGCGTAATTAGACATGCTAAATTCTCAGACCTAGTTGGGGCTGGACACGACTACCTCGGCCGGAGGGGCAAACGCCTCACCTCAAGGCAAACCTCACCACCTTGCCATCCTCCATTGGCTCCAGCTGACTTCCGTTTCAAGATCAATTGCCGATGCATCTACTATGTAACGACCGTAGGGCGAGAAGCAATGGACGCTCGCGAACTCCAGTCCAATTCGACCGTTTCGCACTATTGAAAGCCATCCCGCAATGACGATACGGACTGCATGCAAGTCAGCACTGTCCAGGCAGGTAATTTCCCCTGGCCCCTTTTCAGTCCCCCTGGTAAGAGGCGTTATCCCGCCCCTTGTATCTGGGCGTACAGTATTCCACACGGCTGCTCCGTGCTAGGAAAATAACTGTAAAAGCTGCATAGCATGCAAATGTCGTCTGCATCGTATATCAGATCAGATAAATCCTCGGCTCTCAATCGTGAATGCTTTCCCCTTCTCACATGTCGAATCTAAGGGCCATTTCGCCCATGCCTATCAGTGCTGCTCTCTTCTGCTGCCCATTTACTGCGCCGGGTCTGCTCCCTCATGGCCGAAGTTATTGCCTAGGACATTCATTAATGCAGGCTGGTGAGGAACAAGGTTATATGCTGACGCCAAGCAATCACTTTGCGGAAGCACCTCATTTGTCCCGCGTCCCGTTCTCATTTTGATGCTCGGTCTGCATGCCTGGCTTAGGTGGCGTATTCAATGCAAGGACTGGTGCTCAAGACCTCCCACAGTATAAAGTCGGTCACAAAATGATACCTGCAACCAGTTGAGAAAGTGACTCGAGTCAGCATCAAAGCCTGGCGAATGTTAAGGGCGAGAAGTGCCGCCTAGAGATAAAACATGCCCATAATAGACTTCCTAGTCCACATGACAGCCAAAGGTGCCATGTTTCTAGCTGACAAGGCCAGGGATTAACGTCTGTGCTGTGCTGATCCGGATCACTGACCCGTAGAGATCGTCGGCTGCTCCCAAGCCCAAGACTACGGCAAAGCGCGCACACCGCTAAAAAGTCTGGCGGCCGCCATTCGCCAATGAGGGTGGTTTGGCGGCAATTGCAAGACAGAAGGCTGCCGTGGTGCACGGTAGATGTTCGCACTAAGGTCACTGGGCTCCAGAACGGTCGATGACTCCAAAATTTGAGTCATGAAGGTGTTTCAGACAGCTTTCTCTATCACCCTGCATTTAGAGGCGGGACAGCCCGTACGAAAATGGTCTTCCTTCAAATTCGATGCTTTTACTGAGCATGCTCGAGAAGTGCTGGAAAGCTCCGTGTGCCTCCTCATCTTTGATCAATTGAGGGTCCTTGTTGGTTTGTGCGTTGACTAGCATCTTACTATACGACATGTTGCCTTTGCTTGAATCAGCTGTGGCCGACCCATGACGGACGGTTTCCTACGAGACTGCCTTTGTATCAACTGGAATCGTACTTCATCAGTCGACGGCGTAATAAGCCCGGCTACGTTCATTTGTTAGTTCCGTCATAGGACCATTTTTCACAGGTTTGACTTTATGGAAGAAGTACTCCACGAATCATTGAGAATGACGCTTCATCCGACTAGCTAATACTCTTGCGTTTCGAGACAGTCCGGCTCGAAGAAAGCAAGGCGCACCATACTGCTACGCATGGCATGTCCGGGAAGGGTCGTTTACTCCATGCTGGGCTAATCTCCGCTCTAGTGTGTGGGGATTACAGTAATTCTATCTCTGACAGCTACAACGTCAGGTTCTTCGATACCCGTCGAGGCAGCTCACAGCCTGCAAGGCATAGCAGTATTCCACATTTGAATTTTTTGGCTGTCTTGAGATCCGCGGCTCTTTATTCGAGCGCATTTAACTTGTAGAGCGGGGGTTACATTGAGTTCTCTTGCGATGCTTTCTAAGCAAGTTAGGCAGGTATTGTTCGGAGTTTCACAACCCGTCAAAATGACCTCCCATTCTTCTAGCCTAGCCACGCGGATTGTATCACCAGCGGCAGGATTTATTCCCGTGCACGTGAAGATCCAACTGTCTGGATCTCGCATTTATTTTTCCAGGCCTGGCAATCCGGCGTCTAGATAATCAAGGACCTTCAGACCCTCCGATCCATCAGCACGCAATATGTTTACTAGCTCCAGTAGCCCACT